CGGACAAGGGAGAGGGCAAGGAAGAGGGTTCTATCATGAAAGTACCCTTGGAGTTGAGAAGGTTCCAGGGGAAGGAGTCTGGGAGGTGGTTGATGGTGTAGGAGAGTGCACCCGCCTGAAAGGGGAGGGGATGGAAGCGCAAGCGAGAGAGCAAGGGGGAGGGGATGGAGCCGCAAGCAAGAGGGCAAGGGAGTGGGGATGGCAAAGGCAAGGGAGAGGGAAAGAAGGGGAGAAGGGGAGAGGGCAAGGCAAAGGGCACTGATGTTGATGCCCTTGCCTCCGAGCCATCTAATAGGCCCCCTAGTTCACCCACCCACCTCGTAATACACTTGGCTGGCCACAGCAACAAGGCAGCAAGAAAGAGAGAGTTCCGAGCCATCTAATAGGCCCCCTAGTTCACCCACCCACCTCGTAATACACTTGGCTGGCCACAGCAACAAGGCAGCAAGAAAGAGAGAGTTCCGAGCCATCTAATAGGCCCCCTAGTTCACCCACCCACCTCGTAATACACTTGGCTGGCCGAAGCAACGAGGTGCTGAGACAGAGATAGCGCCACCATCTGCCCTGAATCCGCACACTCATCGCCCTCCCCCACACACTTTGTATCGTCCGCCACACTCCCTCCCTCACTCCCTCTTCCGCGCCCACTACCCATCACTCTCCCAGGTTCCTCCTCCCCTTTGCCTCCCCCTATCCTCGCCTCCCCCTCAGCTTCATCTCGCACCCTTTTCACCTCCCCACCGGCACTGCCAACCGCCCCCATCTCCCCCAACGCCCTCACGCCTTGGTAGCTGCTGATGTCAGCACCACGGTCGATGCTCAGCCCACCACCACCAACACTACTCCGTGTGCTGACGTCAGCAGCGGCAGAAGCAGCGGCAGCACGGTGGGATGAGATGCTGCGATCCGACGGCAGGAAGCGGCCGTGGCAGGCGAGCGAGATGCCCTGGCCGTCGATCTCAGGATCAGCAGGCAGAGTGGCGTCAAGAGCAGCAGTGGAATCGATGGGCACGATGCGTGGGAGGGCCTGCAGAGCAGCGTTGGTGGTGGCGACCACGGTGTCAAGGCTGCTTGTGATGGCCGCTTCCATTGCCGCCCGCAGGTGGTTGGGTAATAAATCCACCAGGCTGTAGGGGGAAAGTGGGATGGAGTGAGTACAACACGAGGGGAAGGGAAAGGCGGTCAGCAGGCAGCGGCAGCATCGATGGGGACGATGCTGGGGAGGGCCTGGAGAGCAGTGTTGGCGGTGGCGACTACTGTGTCGAGGCTGCTTGTGATGGCCGCTTCCATGGCTGCCCGCAGGTGGTTGGGTAGCAGATCTACTAGCCTGCGGGAGGAGTGGGGAAGAGGAAGGGGGAAAGGCGGTCAGGGGGTGGGTTGGAGGGCCTGGAGAGCAGCGTTGGCGGTGGCGACTACGGTGTCGAGGCTGCTGCTGATGGCCGCCTCAGTGGCTGCACGTAGGTGATTGGGTAAATAAACCACCAGGCTGCGGGGGGGAGGGAGGGTAGCATCAAGAGAAGAGAGGTAGCAGTGTTGGCGGTGGCCACTACGGTGTCGAGACTGCTTGTGATGGCCGCTTCCATTGCTGCCCGCAGGTGGTTGGGTAATAAATCCGCCAGGCTGTGATTATAACAGGGGGGAGGGGGGGAGACCACAGTGTGGCTGGGGAGAAAAAGGGGAGGACGGGAGGGGAGGCGACAGGAGGGTGTTAGGAGGGGAGGCGACAGGATGGTGTTAGGAGGGGAGGCGACAGGATGGTGTTAGGAGGAAACTGTATGTTGCCAGTCAATCACAGCTTGCCAGTCAATCACAGCTTGCCAGTCAATCACAGCTTGCCCACCAACCCCAGCACATTCCCCCTTCTCTCCAGCTCTCTCTCCCTCCATCTCCGCCCCACTCCCTTTCTCCTCCCTCTACATCACACCCCATACAGTCACACTCACACGGTGTACAGCCAGGAGATACTCCCAGTGAGCTGAATCTCGATTGAGTCAATCGCCGCACCGCGCTGCAGCAGCGACACCCACAGCCCGCCGAACCGCTCCTGAAGCTGCGCCGCGATTCCCGCCTGCATTCCCGTGATCTGCACGCTCGCGTTCCCCGAGTCGCGCACATACCCGCCCGCCATTGAGTAACTCCACGTCAGACTGACGTTCGCGGTGATTCTACCGGAAAAAACGGTGATTTCGCCGCCTTCGTCGCCAATCCCTAGGTCGATACTCGCGTCGTCGACCGTCGCGCTCCATAGAATCATATCCGTTAAGTTCACTTGTAACGAGCCGAGAGGCTTGGGAAGGTCCTTCTGAAGCTGGAGGTCAGGTATGGTAAGCGGGATTATCTCTTCAAGCACTTCCTTTACAAGCACATCTCGGAACGACTGCAGGCCGGATTCTGACAGCCGCGCGGAAATCCCGCCGGGAGATGCGGAGGAGAGAGGCACGCGTAGCGCATGATGCGAGTCGCCACGGCTGGCGTTTAAGCGCTTAATCGCCGTTAACCGCTCGTTAGAATCTTGACTGGTTAATGGGAAGGGAGACTTAAGAACATCCTTCGCAGCGCGTAGCGGGTAGCGCGCGCGGATTGTGGAGTGCAGGAAGCGGAGGGGGAAGGCGGCGCGCGGAAAGCGCAGGTAGCGGGCGGGCGAAAGGCGGGAGGCGGTTCCGGTAGATGCGGCGAGAGCAAGGCAGAGCGCCACGTGGAATATGAGGAGCGTTGCTCGGGAATTGAGAACACGGGGACTGCGGCGAGCGCGAACAACGGCTGCGGCTCGTGAGGCAGCCATGGATGGCACGGAATGGAGGACAGCCCAAGGCACAGCTTTGTGCCATCAAGAATTTGTGTGAGTGTGAGTGCAAAAACAATAGTTAATAAAGTGTAGGCGAACAGACAGCTGTCATGGAGCAATAGCTCAGTGGTAGAGCAATCGACTGCAGATCGATAGGTCCCCGGTTCAAACCCGGGTTGCTCCTTCTGTTTTTCAGTCTAGCTTGCTGTGGCTAGCACATTATCAGAGTACCTTGTTTGCTACCCAGCTGGCAGCAAAAGGGCAGGAAATCAACTTGCATGATTTTTTTTAGTGCTGTCAGTAGCCATACATCAATGCGTTGCATAAACAATGTCTTACGGCAGTACTCCTGGCTCATCCACTTCTAACTAACCCCTTGGGTGGTACCATAAACAAGCTTGCAGGACCATCCACCCACCTACTGACCCTGCAATCCATCCTCCTCAAAAGGTTAATTCATTCATCCTCCTACCTATCCTGATATCCATCCCTCCACCCACCATGTGCATCATGCCTGTGTGACCCCACCCACCATGTGCATCATGCCTGTGTGACCCCACCCACACATGACTATCAGACTGAACCTTACAGCACCTCACAACTCAACCACCCTTCCTCTCACCCATCCTCAGCACCATGCCTGTGCAACAACCCCAGGTATGTGACAAGCAGATTCACCCGCCCACCGCCATCCCCATGCTGTTCGGGGCATCGTCCCACTTTTGAAGGGACTCAGAACTCTTGAACTGGTATGCATTCTCTCACCAATCCTCAGCACCATGCCTGTGCAGCCCCAGGTACGTGAAGAGCAGATTCACCCGCCCACCGCCATCGCCAGGCTGCTGCAGACAGCGCCCCACCATCCTCTTGTCTCGCAGACTCCACAGCTTCTCAAGACCCATCATTCACAGCATGCCCGTGCAACCCCAGGTACGTGACCAGCAGGTTCACCTGCCCACTGCCACCCTCAGGCTGCTGCGGCCAGCGCTCCACCATCCTCTTGCCTTGCAGACTGAGCATTATAGCTTCTCAAGACCCATCATTCTCCAGGTACGTGCTCGTCATCTCATCTCATCTCATCTCATCTCATCTCATCTCATCTCATCCTCCTCAGCGCCATGCCTGTGCAGCCCCAAATACGTGACCAGCAGGTTCACCCGCCCACTGCCGTCCTCTGGCTGCTGGGGGCACCGCTCCACCATCCTCTTAGCGTCACACCCCTTATACTCACACTCGAAGAAGTGCCGGCCAATGGGGTCGCGCCTCATCGGGGTGTGCCCACACGCCCTCCACATGTGCCCATCCTGTATAGTCACATTGCCAGGGCCGTCCACTTGCACAACCGTTAGAGTCACCTGTTCTCCTTCCCCTTCTCCTTCTCCTTCCCCATCCCCTACCCCCTCATCCTCCTCTTCTGTATCCCCGTCACTCTGGTAGCCTCCCTCTTTCTCCTTCTCATGCTCTTTCACTTGCTCTTGCTCACGCTCAGTCACACCAGCAATATTGGTCACACCAGCAGCAGTATTTGCATCCTTGGGACTGTCTCCAAAGCGAGTCCTCTTGGAGGTCTCCCAAGCACAGGATGCTGTATTGACCTGAGCGTTGACTGGGTTGACTTGCTGTGAAGCGTTGACCAAGTTGACTGGGCGCACAGGTATATCCATCAGCGGCGGGCGGCTGCGTTTGTTGCTTCTCGGCTGGTTGTTGCTGGCCGCGGCCTCTTTAGCCAGATGCTGCTGCTGCTGCCACTGTTGCTGCTGCTGCTGCTGCTGCTGCTGCTGCTGTTGCTGGCACTGCTGCTGCAGGACCTGTTGTTGATGGTAGTGGTTTTGCTGGTATTGCTGCTGCAGCTGGTGTGGCTGTTGCGGAGGCTGCTGGTGTGGCTGTTGCGGAGGCTGCTGGTGTGGCTGGTATGGTTTCGTGGTCGGCGCAAGTGACTCTGCTGGCACGGTGGCAGAAGCAGCTACTGTACAGTGTGCTACAGTACTATGCGTTACTGTACTTGCACTTACTGTAGACGGGTTTACTGTAGAACACGTTACAGTAGCGGCTGACTGCGCAATGGTGCGTGCAGCAAGGACCAATTGCGGCGACAACGAAACCCCACCAGGAGTGGCGGAAATTGAAGGAGGGTGGGGAGGAGGAGACGACAGGGGAGGAGCAGGAGCTGACGTGGCAGCAGGAGGAGCTGTAGCAGCAGCTGACGTGGCAGCAGCTACAGCGCAGAGCACAGGCGGTGAGAGCGATGCGAGGAGAGCGGGTAGCTCTGAGGGCTGTACGCGCTGCAGCACTGTGAGAATGGCAGATGCTGTTTCCATTGAGAGAGGGGGAGGTGCAGATGGGGGGAGAGGGTGAGAGGAGGACGGGACGGGCTGGGTGGCAGGAGACGGAGCTACTACTGCCACCGCTGCTGCTGTTGCTGGTTCTGCTGCTGATGCTGCAGCTGTTGCTGTTGCAGGTGGTGCATTGTGGCTTGGAATCAGGCTCGGAGCTTGGCTCGGGAGCTGGGTGGTAGCAGCAGCAGCAGGAGCAGGGTCGGTAGAGCAGGGCACAGCAGCCACGCTGCCTGCCACGCTGCCTGCCACGCTGCCTGCCACGCTGCCAGGCCTGGGGAACCCACTGCCCGGTAGGCCACTTCCATGAAGGTTCCTGCAGTTGACCGTGTCTCTGTTGGTAGTACTGACTGTGTTGCTGAGATTGTGGGTTGTGGAATTGTTGATAGTGTTGCTGATGGTGTAGCCTGAGCTGGCACCCTCCCCGCTGCCACTGGCAGTGACACTGCAATGCGCCGAGAGAGGGAGCGAGAGAGAGGAGAGAGATTGCGGGGGAGGGAGAGTGAGAGGAGGGGGATGAGGCGTGGAGGCTTGGTTAGATAGAGGGGAAAGTGGGGAGGGAGCGGGGCGAGTGAGAGGGAGGAGAGTGGTGTGAGTGAGGGTGGAAGGAGGAGGATGAGAGAGGGAAGAAGGAGGATGAGAGAAGGAGGATGGAGAGGCAGCTTGGCGTGAAATCGCCCCCAGCCGGCGATGGTCAGGTGAATTGGCAGTCTGATGCGCTGCTTTTCCTTTCCCTCCCCCCTTTATAGCTGCATCTAGCTGAGCAAACCCCCCCATATCCTCCGTTATAATCACTCTCACGTCGCCTGCATGCCCAGCTGTAGCACGCCGCCCGGTTGCCGCCCCTTTTGGGTGGTTGTGCTCGTCCTTGTACAGAATCTCCATGCTCCCGCCGCCCGGGGCCATCTCGGCGGTTTTTTTTGCCGGGCAGCCCGGAACAGCGCATCGGAAATAGCCCCTGGGGAATGAAGATCCTTTGGGCGGCTTCTGCCCGTACTTCCGCCAGGAATAGCCGTCTGGTGGTAGGTCCATTCCCAACGACGGAGGGGACAACGCAGCAGGAGAAGAAGCGGCAGGGGGAGCAGTAGCAGGGGGAGCAGTAGCAGGGGGAGCAGTAGCAGGGGGAGCAGAAGGAGAGGCAGCAGCAGCAGCAGCAGCAGCAGCAGCAGCAGCAGCAGCAGCAGCAGGCGTGGCTGCGCGAGTTGCAGAAGCATCATCCCCACCGCCACCACCACCACCAGCACTAGCACCAGCCGCCGGCGCAGCAGCTGCTGGTGGTGGTGGTGGCGATGCCTCACCCTGCCCATCCACCACTGCTGCACAGCCACCCTCTTCAGCCTTCCTCCTCCCTGCTCCCACGCCCACACTCCCTTCGACTCCGCCCCCACCTGCTCCCCCTCCTCCTCCCCCTCCTCCTCCTCCTCCTCCTCCTCCTCCTCCTCCTCCTCCTCCTCCTCCTCCTCCTCCTCCTCCTCCTCCCCCTCCTCCTCCTCCTCCTCCTCCTCCTCCTCCTCTCCCCATCCTTCCCAGTTGACCCCCCTCCCCTCTTGAGGGGGACCCAACTCTCCCTTTGCCTGACGGCAATTGCCCGTGCCCGGATAGAGATTGCCCCACCCTGCCTCTCTGGGTGCTTGGCTCCCTGGACACGTGGAGGGCCGTTGGGGCTGCACGGGCTGCTCCACATGCGCTGCTGGGCAGGGCGGCACCTGAGGGAGCACCTAAGGGGGCACCTGCGACAGCACCTGAGGCTGCATGTGCAGGCGTGAGTGCAACAGTGCGTTCAGGTGCTGCTTCAGGTGCACATGAGGGTTCACCTGATGGTCCACGCGAAGGTTCAGGTGCCGCTCCAGATTTTTCATTGTTTCTGATGCCTGCCTCGCTCGTGATTCCCACCCCAGCGCCACCTCCGCCGTTTCCCCCTGCAGCAGCGCCACCTCCGCCGCTTCCCCCTGCTGCAGCAGCATCTGCGCCGCTCCCATCAGCAGCAGCGCCACCTCCGCCGCTCCCCTCAGCAGCAGCGCCTCCTCCGCCGCTTCCCCCTGCAGGGGCGCCGGTTCCCCCTGCAGCAGTGCCGGCTCCGCTGTTTCCTGCTCCCCACACCGCGGAAGGGGCGGTAGCAGGTGACACAGCAAGGCATGTGCTTGTACGGGGGGTGTACAGTAACGGGAGCAAGCTGCAAAACACTTCGAATGTCTGCTCTTTAGATGGCGCTGCACCGTCAGTTTCGTCTTGACGAGCCTCATTGTTACCACCCGCGCCCGCTTCCCCAACCATGCCCGGCGCTGCTACTTCCGCCCGCCGCGCTTCCCCCGCCGCCGTTTCTCCCCCGCGCGCGGCTCCCCGCTGGTCCCCCGTCCGTGTCTGTCCCAACGCCTCTGGTCGCGCCCATTCCTCCGCGAATGCCGCACCAGCGGAGAGTTTTGGCGACGCTGCGACCCGTTCGCGAAGCTCGCCGACTGTCGCCTGCGGGACAGCGACTTCCTCGAGCGACGGTTCCGACGTTCGCGATGTTCGCGAAGCAGAGGCGGCGAAGCGCGGAGTCGGAATGGAGATCTCGGGTAAGGAATCGTCGTCGAAGACAAACGGAAGGGGCGGCAGAACGTGGGCAAGCGACGAGCATCCGCCGCCGCCGCCGCTGACGGCAACGCCCGGCGGGGCCACGGTGGATGGCGGAAGCCCCGCGGAAGCGGTCGGGGAAAAGGCGGAAGCGCAGACGGAAGCGGAAGCGGAAGCGGAAGTGGAAACGGGGAGGGATGCGGAAGAGACGAGGGACGCGGAAGAGGAAGAAACAAGCGCGGGGACGGTCGCCAATGCGTCGCTTGCTAAAGCCGCCGCCGCCGCCGTCGCGGCCGCTTTATTTCCCAACTCGGAAAGTTCGTCGGTCTTCAGGCCGCCTCCAGAATTGACAACTTGGCTCAGATCGTTAACGTAGAACTGAGTCCGCTCTAAACGAGAAAATCCTTGCTCCACCTGTCCCGCTCTATCGTACACGACGGAGGGATCTCGCTGCATTAAAACCCGAGTCGCAATGTGATGAGAAAGCGACGCAGCCATGCGGGTGGTCAAGCTAGCAGTTAAGGCCTCGCCCGTTCCGAGCGGAAGCGGCGCAGCGAAAAGCCGCTGCCCTTCCGCCTCCCGCTCGCGCTGCTGCTGCTGCTGCTGCTGCGCTCCCTGGTCTCCGCCAACCTGGCCTCCGGCACAATGCGCCAATTTTTCCGCGCCCCTTTCAAGGAAATGTTTCCCGCTTTCCTCTTGCCTACGCTCCTGCTGCTGCTCCGGCTGCTGATGCGGCTGCGGCGGCTGCTCAGCTCGTCGCTCTCCTTGCTCCGTGTACCGCGGTCGATCCGTCCGCCAATGCTCCGCGCGCCCATCGTCCGCCCGACGGAGCACTAAACCAGCGGAATCGCACCGCGGCGCGACATTCTCGTCGCAACTGCTATTGCGGGAATCCAGGAGTCTCGGCGTGCGTCGCCCCGTTTCAAAACGCTCACTCTGCCGCCCGTACCCTGCCCGAGCTTCGTCCGCCACGTCAGCCCTAGACGCCAAGGTCGTTGTGCTTGGACCCTGCTGTTGCGTGTATTCTTCGATCCGTTGCTGCCGCGGCAATTTTTTTTGTTGCAGCTGCTGCTCTCTCCTTTGCTGCAGCTGGTGCACGCTCCTTTCCTGCTGCTGCTGGAACGGCTCCGCTCCTTCTTTCTCCTCGAGACACGTCTGTTTCGGTTCAGCGTTGCGCCGCGTACGGCGGCGAAACGTGTGAACGAAGCTCTGGTCATGGCGTGCTTCTTGGAGTTGGGGTTGCGACGAAAACGCGTGGGTTGGATTTTGGTCGGTGGGAACCGCGTGTCTCCCCGATAGTTGATGCAGCCGACGGCGGTGTGGGGAGGAAGACGATGAGGGCGAGGGAACAGAGCAGTCTTTTCTGCTGCTTGCCTTGAGCGCTGGGTTGGGTGGGTGGTTGGCCGACATTTTTGCGCATGTCGCGAGTGAAATGCAAGGGACGTTTGTGTACTTGAGAAGGATATATTTCGATTCTCGATTGAAGCAAAAAAATGAGGTGCGAGATGGAATGGGAGAAATTTGTGATTGTGGCAATGTTGGGGGTATTACACAGTTACAGCTGCAGACGAGGTGAGGAGGTGTGTGCTTGTGTGTGAGTCGAGGGGTTGACGGACGGTGGATTGATTTCAGATCTGGAGTAAAAGTAGGTCAGCGCACAGAAGAGCGCGATGCGACTTCTGGTTCAGGCAGTGAGAGACAGCGATGCGACCCGCGGGGGTCCACGATTTGCAAACCAGGTTCCGTAATTCTGCGGCGAGAGTAATTGACTGCGGTCAACGACAAAGTGGGCGTTAGACTGAGGTCAGCCCTTGAATGCAGAAGCGATAGAGCTGATGACACGTGGAATGACCTCATGGGTGAAAAGAAAGCGAATGCACCCGATGAAGCTGGAGGAGGTAGGTGCGAGTCTGTGTGTCTTTTGCCCACGACTATCTTGTCGTCTGGTGGAGACCAATTTTTACTTTGATGTAGCCTATCTGCTGGGCGAACTTATTTCCTAAGTTTCGACAACACTATCGTCTCAGGGTTTGTCGGTTAGTTTTTCGTCCAAAGCAAAGAAAGCGAGAACAAACGCCAGTCTGGAAGACGTTACGCTACACCCGGAAAACTAATGGGCATAAAAAGCAACCCAGCTTTCTCCATCCTAAGTTGTCGTACAACCCTTCCAATATGCCGAGCGCGGGAGAGCGAGAGCGACAACCAATCCCAGTTGCTGTGGGCCATGCCTTCCATGCCACGACAATTTGGCAGTTACCAACGAATTTCAAACACCCCGCCGTCACACCAACTCTACGAGAAGCAAGCCGCTTTACGCTGACGCGTTTGAGCGCTCCTATATCAGCCTAGTACAATTTAAGCTCCCCGCATTTTAGCCCTACAATGCCTCTCTACGATTTATTCCCATCAGCCTTGAAATACCATTTGCACAATAAGCTAAAACATACTGTTATACTACCCAATCAGCCGCTGCCTACTCACGGAGGTAACCACTTGTGATTTGAACGCAGTGGCCGAGAACTGCAGCGCCGTGTCTCGGATCATGAATCCAAAATATGCAAGACCCAAAATGCCTGCTACGACTGCAGTCACGAGGTACCACCACTGCAAGGGGGCATAATGGAGGGATAGGAACTAAACTGAGTGAACATGCAACAAAAACAGACCTTATTCCATCGATTGTCATATATTCAACTGCTGCTCTCTTATACACCCCTTCCTCCCACACAACCCCCACTTTTACACTCACATCCTGGTTGCCGCCATAGAGCTGCCCGTACACGTCAATCCCAAGGAACACATTGGCGCAGCCCATGGCAATCGCCGCGATGCCCATCGCCCAGTGGAACGTCAGCCACGCGGGGCGGTTGGACGTGCCCTTGTCGGGGCGGAAGAAGCCCAAGAAGGGCTGCACGAATGTGAGGGCGAGCGCCACCACTCCCAGCTTGCCATGTGTCCACTCCAGGCCCTGGGAACCTGACACTATGAACACCATTATGGCCGCCACTAGCACCAGGATTACGGCACAGATTTGAATGTACCTGGGGAGTGGGGAAGGGGGGAGGGGGAGGCAGGGAGAGGCAGGTGGCAGGTGCAAGGAGGAAGGTGAGCCACACAGGGCGGTGGGACGTGCCCTTGTCAGAGCGGAACAAGCCCAGCAAGGGCTGCACAAAGGTGAGAGCCAGCGCCACCGCTCCCAGATTGCCATGTGTCCACTCCAGGCCCTGGGAACCTGACACAAAGAACACCATTATGGCCGCCACCAGCACCAGCAGAACCGCACAGATTCGAGTGTACCTGGGGAGGGGAGGGAAGCAGGGGACGAGGTGAATACGGAAGGGGGTGCGGGGGAAGGTGTTGACGGGACTGATCTGAAGGATAAGGTTTCGGGAAGGCATAAGTCTCGTGTGAATGCAGAAGGCCCACATGTTAACCCAAAACAAAACATCAGCTTAGCAGCACATAGGCGAGTACGTGCATGATGTCATGCACCATCAGCACCACTCAGCAACCTCCTTACCGCCTCACACCCGCCTACCCCCCTTGTGGCAGAGGAACCAGAGGCCCCTGTTGGTGTGAGCGTCCTTGTCCTCCTCGTTGGGATGGGATCCCCCTTACCGCCTCACACTTGCTTCAACCCCACTACCCCTCCTTACTTATGGCAGAGGAACCAGAGGCCCCTGTTGGTGTGCATCTCCTTGTCTTCATCCGAGGGCAGAGTGGGGCGGTCGTAGAGGAAGAGGCGCGCGAGCAGCACTCCCAGGGGCATGAGCAGCGCGTAGGCGAGTGCAAGCATGATGCCGTGTGCCAAGAGCACTGCCTTCTTATTGCTGTTGCTGCTGGTCACTGGGGCGGACGTGCCGTTGATGAATGCAACTGAGGCCGAACCACTGGATGGGATAGGGAGGGAGGGAGAGTAGAGACGGGAGGGGAGGGACAGAGAGTGGAGGGAGGGGAGGGACAGAGAGTAGAGAGGGAGGGGAGGGACAGAGAGTAGAGAGGGAGGGGAGGGACAGAGAGTAGAGAGGGAGGGGAGGGACAGAGAGTAGAGAGGGAGGGGAGGGACAGAGAGTAGAGAGGGAGGGGAGGGACAGAGAGTAGAGAGGGAGGGGAGGGAGGGAGAGTAGAGAGGGAGGGGAGGGAGGGAGAGTAGAGAGGGAGGGGAGGGAGGGAGAGTAGAGAGGGAGGGGAGGGAGGGAGAGTAGAGAGGGAGGGGAGGGACAGAGAGTAGAGAGGGAGGGGAGGGACAGAGAGTAGAGAGGGAGGGGAGGGAGAGAGAAGGGGCATGAGCAGCACGTAGGCGAGTGCGAGCATGATGCCGTGCGCCAGGAGCACTGCTTTCTTGTTGCTGTTGCCGGTGGTGCTGACAGGGGCCGCGGAGCCGTTGATGAATGCGACTGAGGCCGACCCACTGGGTAGGAAGGGATAGTGGGACAAGATAAGGGGAGGAGATGAGGGAAGAGAACAGGAGAGAAGTGGGCAAGAGGGGGAAAGGAGAGAAGAGAAAAGAGAAAAGAGAAGAGGAGATGAGAAGAGGAGATGAGGAGAGGCATAAGGCACAACGACCATCCAAGTCAGCACTAGATGGAGCCAAGCTGAGTGACGGCTGATTGGTTTTTGAGACGTCTCAAGCTGAGTGACAGCTGATTGGAGAAGGCCCAGATGACTGCAGTAAGCCACCTGTGACCCAGCAACTTATTATTCATGCACCTCTTAAAAAAGCTGCACTGCATTACCTGTGACCCAGGAACCCACCAGTTGGAGCCATGGAAGCTGAGAGATGGCTGATCAGAGAAGGACCAGATGACTGTGGTGCTGCCCTCTGCATTGATTGGCGCCGTGCCGTCCGTTGTGGAGCGCTCAAACCTGCTCGCAGGTGAGAGGGGGGGGGGGGGGGGAGGAGAGTGAGGGGGGAGGTTAGAGGCAGATAGAGAGGTTTTGAAGGACCAGATGACAGTGGCACTTCCCTCCGCGTTGATTGGCGCCATGCCGTCCCTTGTGGAGGGCTCAAACCTGGTCGCACAGGGAGGGGCAGCAGCACCGCATAGAGAGGCAGTCAGAGAGAAACGGAGAGTGAGAGGCAGCAAGGCAGAGATAGGAAAGCAGAGGCAGTCAAGCAATCAGAGAGAACCGGAGGGGCAGAGGGTTGCACAGGCAGGAAGCCTGCTTTTGAGTCGACTCAACAGCACAGGCAGGAAGCCTGCTTTTGAGTCGACTCAACAGCACAGGCAGGAAGCCTGCTTTTGAGTCGACTCAACAGCACAGGCAGGAAGCCTGCTTTTGAGTCGACTCAACAGCACAGGCAGGAAGCCTGCTTTTGAGTCGACTCAACAGCACAGGCAGGAAGCCTGCTTTTGAGTCGACTCAACAGCACAGGCAGGAAGCGCACTCAAACCTGGTGAGGGGGGGAGGGGGGGAGGGGGGGCAGCAACGCAGCGAGGCAGGGATATGCAGAGAGAGGGGGGGAGGTGGAGAAAGAAAGGGTGCCAGGCAGAACAGGCATCGTCAGAGAGAGGGGGAAAGGAGAGGCGCCTCAAAGCCTGTCAGAATCCCCTTCTGCCCCCAAAATCGTTTGCCACTGAAACCAGCTGCACTCACTTCATGATGGTTCTTCCATCGCTGGTTTCCACCGACGTATTCGCGAGCGTGAAATCCCCCGAAGGCACCACCTCGCTCTCCTCATACCCGCCGATGTAAAACGCGCCCACCGCAGCCCCGTTGGCGATGGCACCGAACGGCAGGTTGCCAATGGCCACGTCTGAGGGCGCCATACGACCCTCCCGCGACCAGCCCAGGGAGAGGTACCCCGTCGTTGCTGCCTCTGCTGCTATGGCTACAGTTGTCTTGCTGAGCGCCTTCCAATGCAGGATGAAGCTGCGTGGGAGGGGGGGAGGAGGGGGGAGAAGGTGAAAGGGAGAGGGGAATACATGGGACCAGCCGAGGGAGAGGGGAATACATGGGACCAGCCCAGGGAGTGGTATCCCGTGGTGGCTGCCTCTTCTGCTATTGCCATGGCCGTCTTACTGCGGGCCTTCCAATGCAGGATGAAGCTGCGTGGGAGGAGGTTTGAGGAGGGAGGAGGGTATTGGGGGGAAAGATGGAGGGATGGGGGAGCAGACGACAAAAGCCAGTTACATGCTTGATCAGAATGACACTTGTGTTCCCACAACCAAGTCACTCACTTGTCGCCACTGAGCTCCAAGGAGCAAGTGTGATTCGCCAGCCATTGTAGCGAGGTGACTATTGGGCTCACTTACAAGTTACCTTGTTACCATAACCACTCACTTGTCGCCACTGAGCTTCAAGGAGCAAGTGTAATTCGCCAGGGGAGAGGGGGAGCATCCCACCATTGCTGCTTCTGCAGCCGCCACTGCTGCTGCTGACACTTTTGCCGGTTTTCCTGGTTTTGCTGCTGCCGGTGCTGGTGCTGACGGTAGTGGCACTGCAGGTTTTGACGGTTGTGCTGCCACTGACGGTGGCGCTGCTACTGCTGGCGCTGACGGTGCTGCGGACGATGCTGGGGCGTCCAGAGCAGGCGGCAGAGGAGCGGAGCCATGGGAGTTGGCAGGGGAGCAGTTGAAATAGATCACGGCAGAGCCCCTGAGGAAGGGTGGGGTGGGGTGGGGTGGGGGGGGGGGGGGGGCATAGGAGAGGGAGGGGAGGGGTGAGAAGGTGAGGGGAGAGCAGGAAGGCCAGCGGTTAGTGCTGGTGCTAATGATGGCGATGATTCTGCTGGTGTGCCCAGAGCAGACGGCAGAGGGGCAGAGCCGGGTGTGCTGGCAGGCGTGCAGTTGAGATTGACCAGAGCAGGACCCCTGGTGGGCGTGAGGGGAGTGGAATGAGGAGAGGGGAGGGGAGGGGACGGGTGAGGGAAGGGAAAAAAAAAAAAAATCTTGTTGGCGGGCGTGCAGTTGGGATGTTTTGAGATGTCTCAAAACACTTGTTCAAACAACAGGCGGCAGAAGGGGTGAGCTGGGCGAGTTAGCAGGCGTGCAGTTGAGATTGACCAGGGCAGAGCGACTGGAAGGGGGGAGGAAGTGGGAAGACGACAAGTCAACCAAGTCAACCAAGTCAACCGAGTTGGGACAGCAAAAGTCCTCGGTTGACACGTACCTGTTGAGAGGCCCGTGGCCAGCAAAAGTCGTCGTCTCATCAGCCGAGAAAGCCAGATGATGCGGTTACCACCCGACACCACATCCAACTTGAAACATACTCGTTACAGGTGTCTCGTTACAGCACGTACCTGTTAAGAGGGCCGTGGCCGGCTAGAGTCTGTGTCTCATCAGCCGAGAAAGCCCAGATGATGCGGTTACCACCCGACAGCGTTACAGGCGCAAGCCCATCAATGGTGGTCCGGGCAAAGCGCAGAATCGTGCTCCCACTGGCTAATGGAGCTTCGGCCACTCCAATGCCGCCACCTGCCGGCGCGCCATTGGCCGATGGCGCGAGTGTGACTATAGTGGGGGCGCCAATAGCGAAGGCGGATGTGGGCGAGATTGTAGCGAGGGTGCGACCTGTGATGGTGTAGGCGCTAATGGCACCGCCTGTAGTGCGAGGGAGGTGGGGGAGGGGTGGCGGGTGGAGGAACAGGGAATGTGATGGGCGTGAGAACTAACCCACCCCACCCCACCCCTTCCCTCTCTCTCACCTGCCATGATGCCAATGATGGCATCAGAGGGGAACATCTTGCCTTTCTCACTCCACCCCACTCCATCCCTCTCCACCACTACTTTTACCTGCCGTGCTCCATGCTCTGCCCTCTCTTCCCCTCTCTCTCACCTGCCGTGTTGCCAATGATGGCGTCCGAGGGGATCATCTTGCCTGTCTCGCTCCACCCCACCGCCACTCTCTACCCCACGCTCACCACTCTCTACCCCACGCTCACCACTCTCTACCCCACGCTCACCACTCTCTACCCCACGCTCACCACTCTCTACCCCACGCTCACCACTCTCTACCCCACGCTCACCACTCTCTACCCCACGCTCACCACTCTCTACCCCACGCTCACCACTCTCTACCCCACGCTCACCACTCTCCGCCCTTTCCCTGCAACCTTACCTGCCGTGTTGCCAATGATGACATCCGAGGGGAACATCTTGCCTGTCTCGCTCCACCCCACCGCCACCCACCCCTTCTCCGCGCCCGGCCGCGCCTCCAGCGCAAAGCGCACGAGCGTGGGGGTCGCCACCGCCCAATGCAGCGCCAACCTGAAAGGGGAGGGGAGGGGAGGGGAGGGGAGGGGAGGGGAGGGGGAGGGGGGGGGGTATGAGAGAGCTTCTCCGCGCCACTCCCCGGCCGCGCCTCCAGGGCAAAGCGCACGAGCGTGGGGGGCGCCACCCCCCAATGCAGCGCCAACCTTGAGGGGTAAGGGAGACGAGAAGAGGGGATGGGGGGGTGAGAGGAGAGGAGAACCGCAAGTTGGAGGGAAGAAGAGCGGTGCATGGTACATCAGAGGGTGGAGGAGAGAGAGGGGAGAGTAGAGAAGGAGGGGAGAGGAGGGGAGAGAAGGGGAGTAGAGGAGGGGAGTAGAGGAGGGGAGTAGAGGAGGGGAGTAGAGGAGGGGAGTAGAGGGGAGAGGAGGGGAGGAGGGGAGAATAGATGCCCATAGTGCACGACTACACGCGTTATTCCGTTGTAATCCCCTTCGCTACACTCACTTGTTCCGCACCAAAGGTGCCACGAATGAGTATCCAGGAAGGGAAGATGCTTGGCAGGCCGAACCTCCTGCCGAACCTTCTGGGGCGGGGACCACCGGCGGCTTGGTAACTGGAGGCTTGGTAACAGGCTTGGTCACGGGAGGTTTGGTGACTGGCTTTGCAACAGGGGGCTTGATGACAGGCTTGGTAACTGGTGGTTTGGTGACGTTAGTTTTGGGGAGGGGAGGTTTGGCAACAGGAGGCTTGATAACAGGCTTGGCAACAGGTGGCTTGATGATCGGCTTGGTAACAGGCTTGGTGACGGGAGGCTTGATAATCGGCTTGGTGACTGGCTTGGGAACTGGCTTGGTAACAGGTGGCACGGGAGGTTCGGCCGGAGCAGCAGCTGAGGGCGGGGCGACAGGGTCTGCATGGCACAGGGAAGGCAGGTGGGGAGAGGGGAGAGTAAGATGGGAGAATGGGTGCGGGCGCATGAGGGGAAGTGAGAGTGAGAAAAACAGCGCATGACGGAGCATGACGGAGCATGACGGAGCATGACAGAGCATGACAGAGCATGACGGAGCATGACGGAGCATGACAGAGCATGACGGAGCATAACGGAGATGACGGAGCATGACGGAGCATGACAGAGCATGACGGAGCATGACGGAGCATGACAGAGCATGACGGAGCATGACGGAGCATGACAGAACATGACGGAGCATGACGGAGCATGACGGAGCATGACATAGCATGACGGAGCATGACGGAGCATGACGGAGCATGACGGAGCATGACAGAGCATGACAGAGCAAGACAGAGCATGACGAAGCATGACGGAGCATGCCAGAGCCTTAAAGAGCATCGCAGAGAGGCAGAGGGCATGAGAGTCGATTCTGTATTTTGACTCAAAATACACGTCAATGCCAGCAGGTGGGTGGCACGTCAATGCCAGCAGGTGGGTGGCACGTCAGCCAGATACATACCACCATCAACAGCACCACACGTACCGCCGCCGCACGAGAGGTCCATGATGGCCGTGATGGGAAGCTGCACGAGTGAGTGCCGTGCCCTTGTGTGACCCGTGGTAGCCCAGCGGATGCGAGGCACACTGAGACCAACCCACGTACCATGCATCATCAACACCAGCAGCACCCGCAGCACCAGCAGCACCCGCAGCACCAACACCACCAACAGCATCATCAACACCAGCAGCACCAGCAGCACCAGCAGCACCCGCAGCACCCGCAGCACCCGCAGCACCAGCAGCACCCGCAGCACCCGCAGCACCCGCAGCACCAGCAGCACCCGCAGCACCAACAGCACCAATAGCACCCGCAGCACCAACAGCACCAACAGCACCAACAGCACCAACAGCACACGTACCGCTGCCGCACGAGAGGTCCATGATGGCCGTGCCCTTGTGTGACCCGTGGTAGCCCAGCTTGTGGGCGCCGTCGCTTGAGAAGGCCCAGATGATCCTGTTCTTGCCCGTCAGGTTCAACGGCACCGTGCCATCCGTGGCATTCCGGGTGAATCTGACGCGGGGTAAGGGAGAAGAGACAGAGAGATGGGGTTGTGTGCCCGCTTAACAGGTGTTAAGTGCACTCATAGACAGCACTCATAGTCACCCCATCACCTTGCACTCACTCCATCAACGTGCTGCCCTCAGCGGTGGCACTCAGCGCCTTGTTCTGCCCCAGCTTCATCACGCGGCTCCCCACCACCGCGTCGGGGGAGTGCCCCGTGAGCGCGTATCCGCGCACCATTCCGCCCAGCAGGTTCCCCACGACCGCGTCCGCCTGCGCCATTCCGCCCGTTGCGGACCACCCCACGGCGAACCACCCCGCGCTTGCCGGACCTGGCCACGCCTCCACAGCCATTTGCACCTTTCCGGACGGCTTGGGGGGGTTCCAGTGCAGGAGGAGGCTGGGGGGAGAGGGGGCGGAAGGACGGGGGGAAGGTGGGGAGGAAGGGGGGAAAGAGGGGAACGGGGGGGAAGGAAAGGGTCAGAGAGTGAATGGCCGCGCCTCCACAGCCATCCGCACCTTTCCGGACGCCTTGGGGGGGTTCCAGTGCAGGAGGAGGCTGGGCGGAAGGAGGGTGCGGGGGAAGGACGAAGGGGAGAGGGAAGAGTGAGTAACTGCCTCCACACCCACCTGCACCGTTCCGGCCGTTGTCGGGGGGTTTCAAAGGAGGAGGCTGGGGAAAGGTGGGGAAAAAGGGGTGGAAGGAGGGAGGGAGGGAGGGAGGGTAGACCTTGCTTCCTTTGTTAGCTTTCGTCATCCTACTTCATCCTAGTTTTCGGAAACTCGCGAAAACCTTGGGAGTACCATCTTCCCCCGTCCCCTCTTCCCCCCCCGTTCCACTCACTAATGGGCTTTCAGTTTGATGTAAAATTTGTAACCCGCCTTCGGGGACTCGCGACAACCCTGGGGTTTGCGGCCCTCGGAAGTGCCGCCACCAGGAGCACCGCCCCCGGGAGTGCCGACCCCAGGAGTGCCGACCCCGGGAGTGCCGACCCCAGGAGTGCCGACCCCAGGAGTGCCGACCCCGGGAGTGCCGACCCCGGGAGTGCCGACCCCGGGAGTGCCGACCCCGGGAGTGCCGACCCCGGGAGTGCTGACCCCGGGAGTGCCGACCCCGGGAGTGCCGACCCCGGGAGTGCCGACCCCGGGAGTGCCGACCCCGGGAGCACCGCCCACGGTAGTCCCGACCCCGGGAGTGCCAGCCCCGGGAGCGCCGACCGGGGGAGTGCCGACCGCGGGAGTGCCGATCGCGGGAGTGCCGACCGCGGGAGTGCCGACCGCAGGAGTGCCGGCCGCGGGAATAGTGGGTTTAGGAGTGCCAGCCGCAGGCAACCCCCCCGTAGACGACTCTTTCTTGACACTTCCGTCCATTCCCGCGCCAGGGGACAGCTTGGGCGGAAGCGGAAGCGGAGCCACGGGGAGGACTGGGGAAGCCTCGGGGGGAACTGGGGAGGCCTTGGGGGTTGGCGCGGGCACAGCTCCGCCAGCCGGGTCTTCCGCCTTCGCGCGCCTGCAGGACATGTCCGCTGTTGCCATTCCGCTGATTGGGGGGGAGGGGGGAGGGTAAATGGGGAAGAGGGAGGGGAAAAGGAAAGGAGGAGACGGGTTGGCGTAGGAGGGCGCGGGAAAGGAGTGTGACACAAGTAGGGGGAGGAGGGAAGGGGTAGGAATTTCTTTTTGTGACAAGTAGCAGGGCCGTACAGCAGGGTAAAAACAAAACGTTTAAAAATACAACTGTTCTTTTCTTCGTGGCATGCCGTGTTCATAATGAGGCCGATACTCTTACTGTCCAAATCATCCGCGAGACTTACACGTTATCCCCTTTGAAAGCCAGCTCGGTCCCGCCATCCGCGGAGTACGCCCAGAACATCGTGTTGCGCCCATTCATATTCACCGGCGCCAGCCCGTCGGTCCCGCGCCGCGCAAACCTGCGCGCAAGGGGAATTGGAGGAACAGGGGGAGAAGAAGAAAAACGTGGTTACTATTATATTCCTCACTCATGCCAGGCCGACAACTCAATAAAATTCGAGACTGACGCATTGTTTGCTCCTGGTAAGACTGAAACATTCCCTCACGTTCAAGCCAATCCTTATGGTACAGCACTCACCTTATAATCTTCGTGCCGTCGTCCCGCACGACCATCCGCGCATTCGACCCCAGCGCGATCGACGCGTTGGGCGCCACGAGCGCCGGGTCCTCTCCGCGGATACTGTACATGCGCACATCTGCGTCGGGTAAATTACCCACGATCGCGTCCGCGGGAAACATCTCCCCGTCGCGCGACCATCCCACGCCGAACCAGCCCTTGGCTACGCCAAAGCCAGCTCGCGCCTCCACCGCCATCATCGCTATTCCCGCCTCGCCCGGCTCGCGCCAGTGGAACAGGAACCTGCGGGGAGGGGGAAGTGGAGGAATGGGGGGAGCGGAAAGGTGGGGAGATGAACGGAAAAGTGGGGGACGGGGGAAGAGTTGAGGCGGAGGGGATGGGGGGAACGGAGAAGGGGAGGGGTTGGAAGCGCAAGTCAGGGAGAACTTGCGGCGGAAAGCAACTGTTCGGGCGCCCTGGAGCAAACCAGGGCGCGAAGTTCGCTCAACTGTTACGACTTCGCTCACCCCCTATTTTTCAACGTCGTTTGAAAGTCGTAATCCTTGAGCGGCGACGGTTCGCAGACGGGAGACTGTGCGAATCCGGTGGCCTCGCGAACGGAATACGACGCGTCAACAACCCGGTGGAGAGAGGTTGCGAGGCCGAGGGCGACGAAGGCGAGGATGAGGAAGGAGGGGCGCGTGGGGGGGAAGGCGGACGCGCCGCGTTGGCGCGCCATGAGTATCGGAATGATCATTAACGGTGCACACTATTGATGGGGTATGAGGATACGTAGGGCTAGTCTCTTGCGAGTCAAGTCAATCTAGAGCACAAGCTGAGACAACTGAGGGTTACTTGAGACGGGAGGACATTTAATCCTTATCGTTCCGACTTTCTTTGCCTGGTTCTGCCGATTCGAGTTGCAGTGTGGGGCGGCTGGATCGGTATGCTCTCGCTGGCGCTTCCCGTTTTCTATGCTTACCTCCACTTCCCTTCTCCTCTCTCACTAGCTCTTCTCACGTGTCAACGTTTTTCGAATCGTGGCTGATAAGCCGAGAACCTCTGAGCCAATGGATGTCGAGAGCTAGCCCCTCTCTTAACGGGCCAAGTGGTGTTGGTGTGAGCAGCCGCGTACGTGCTTGCTTGTTTCATCCTGTTAGCGGTGGTGATTTTAGGAGGATTTGTGGGGCAGAGACAGGATAGCAGGCGCCGTGAACTCCGGAGAGAGCAGCAGTGTGCATTTGATTTGATGGCGTCTCGGGTGGAGAGAAGGGAATGGAATGATAACACCTGGCAGCACGCAGGCGAATTTCTGTGCATTACAGAAAGCGATTCGGGTGTGACTGGTGGTTGCGATGCGTTTCAATGTTTCTACCGAGCTGGGGGGAATGGAGCGACTCGTAAAGCATCGCTATAAGTTTCCCCGACTCCCGAACCAAGGCTGCTGCCTTGGCATCACTGGCGACGTGATTTGGCGACGGCATCCCTGGTTTCGCATTACAAGCGAAGAGGGCGACGACGAGCGAAATATTGACCCTGCTCAAACCAAGCCATCACCCGGAATGCTTTATCATCTTTCCCATTATACATTGCTATACTTCCTCGTGTATTCATTGCTAATTCTTCAAACTTTAAATTCCTACCTGAATCTAACACAGATTCACACTAAAGTTGCTTATTCCACTATGCCAGCTGTATCCCATATATACGTCTCGTTATAGACTGATTCACCTGATGAACCATAATATTCTGTTGCCCACCTCCTTGCGTTAGGGTAATAAGGCAGGATTAGACTTCCATGTCATGCGCCGAGTTAGCAAAACATGCCTAGAGTATTTATGGTTTACTTTGTAATGCTGCCACCTTTCACGTGAAAGGAGCTCGCTTAGGTTGCACAACCGGTGCATTACCACCACCACCACAGCTGCTACCGTTACAAATCCCCCAGTAAAACTCCCAAAGCTTTTTCCAAATAGCCCACCGGCGTGCCCTCCTCGCCACCCTGTGTTGCTCTTCATACACTCCGCATTCGCACGTTGCACACCCACATCCTCCGCTACTATGATCATCATCATCGTCATCGTCATCGTCATCGTCATCGTCATCATCGTCGTCGTCTTTACAGTTGATGCTGCAAGGCCTGGGCGTTCTGCTCTGCGGCGCGCGGATGATCTGTGGAGGGTAGTGGCACGAGTAGTCCACAATCGCAATGCCCCTGGTGGGAAGAAAGCAGGACGTTTGGGGGAGACATGAGATCGTGGAAACCCCAATGGCAGGGTAACGGCAAGGGCAAGGCCAACGGCAACAACATCGAAATCAACTTAGAGAGTGCAGAGAGAAGGGTATTGGGAAAGTGGATGTAGGGGGGAGCATGGGGAACACACAGTCAGATGGGCTGCCACACACCCGTGTTGTGAGTGTGTGCTGTATCGGGTGTAGACGCATGACTCATGGCACATGCGAAGTCACATGGCACATGCGAAGTCACATGGCACATGCGAAGTCACATGGCACATGCGAAGTCACATGGCACATGCGCACTCACAAGAGAATAAAGACCACCATGGAACAGGCATGCAAGAATCCCACAAGAATCTCACATGGCAGCGCTGTGGTAAGAGAGCGTGGACATGAGATTACGCGAGTGCGCCCTTGTGTTGAAAAGAATAATCACACAAGAATTGCACATTGCGGACTAGATTGCGGCGCCGTGGTAGGAGAGCGAGGACATGGCATTGCGCGAGTGTATCCGATATAGCAGGCATCTCAGGTTCCCCTTTTTGAATAACTACATACTATAGACACATACGACTCACATGGCACATGGCACATGGCACGTGGCACATACGACTCACATGGCTCATGGCACATGGCACGTGGCACATGCGACTCACATGGCACATGGCACATCGCACGTGGCACATGCGACTCACATGGCAGCGCCGTGGTATGAGAGTGTGGTCATGGCGTTGCGCGAGTGCGCCCACACCACCCAGCTCTTCCCCTCGATGTGGAATATCGACTGCGACCCAGTGCCGTTCTCCCGAGAAAACCTGCATGCAGGGGGTGGGGGGAGAAACGATGGGTTATTAGTGTTGGGGGAGTTATGAGTCGACTCAAGAGTGCGCCCACACCACCCAGCAGAAAGAGGGTTTTTGTTTTGTTGGGAGGAAGAGGGAGAAAGAGAGAGGGAGAGAGAGCATAAGAGAGAGGGGGGGAGGGAAGAGAGACAGTAAGAGAGATTCACAGAGAAAGAGAGAGAGAGAGAGAGAGAGAGAGAGAGAGAGAGAGGGAGAGAGTGAGAGAGGGAGAGAGGGAGAGAGTGAGAGAGAGAGAGGGAGAGAGAGAGAGAGAGAGAGAGAGAGAGAGAGAGGGAGAGGAAAACTGTGATGCAAATTGGTGTAGACGAGCCTGCAGCAGCATTCCTCACTTGATAACAGTGGAGCAATCTCAATAGCCAAGTTGAATTCTGAGTCAACTCAAAGGTCAAGATTCAACTCCAGTGGCATCACTCACTTGACGATGGTAGAGCAATCCGGCGCCGCCTCAACAGTCTTGTCGAACCCGAGCGAAAAGTTCATCGTGGGAAACACCTGCGTTCGCCGGTAACCAGTCATTTCGTACGCAGCTACACCCGGGGTGTTACCAATCACGGCGTCAGCGGGGGCCATCTCGCCGTTATCGGACCAGCCTATACCGAGCCAGCCCGACCCCGCGTAGCTGTCTTGCGTCGCCTCGAGCGCCATGTGCACGGTGCAGCCCTCCACGTTCCAATGCAGAATGAGCCTGATACGACACACATGCAAGGGAGCAGAGTTCGAGAGAGAGAGTATCTTAAGAGTTTGTTTGAGTAGCTTCCAGCGCCATGTGCACGGTGCAGCCCTCTACGTTCCAATGCAGAATGAGCCTGATACGACACACATGCAAGGGAGCAGAGTTTGAGAGAGAGAGTCTCTTAAGAGTTTGTTTGAGTAGCTTCCAGCGCCATGTGCACGGTGCAGCCCTCCACGTTCCAATGCAGAATGAGCCTGATACGACACACATGCAAGGGAGCAGAGTTTGAGAGAGAGAGTATCTTAAGAGTTTGTTTGAGTAGCTTCCAGCGCCATGTGCACGGTGCAGCCCTCTACGTTCCAATGCAGAATGAGCCTGATACGACACACATGCAAGGGAGCAGAGTTTGAGAGAGAGAGTCTCTTAAGAGTTTGTTTGAGTAGCTTCCAGCGCCATGTGCACGGTGCAGCCCTCCACGTTCCAATGCAGAATGAGCCTGATACGACACACATGCAAGGGAGCAGAGTTTGAGAGAGAGAGTCTCTTAAGAGTTTGTTTGAGTAGCTTCCAGCGCCATGTGCACGGTGCAGCCCTCTACGTTCCAATGCAGAATGAGCCTGACAGGGCGACACGCACGCAAGGGGGCAGAAGGTTGGGATTGCCTCAAAGGTGAGAGCGTTTGGATTAGAGCAGTAATTACACGCCGGGGTTTGGGGGCGTCTCAACAATCGCCCCAAGAAACCACCCCAAAAACCCGCCCCTTTGAGGCGTCTCAAAGGTTCATTTGGAGGTCATTACACGCAGCCAAGGGGCGGATTTTTGGGGCGCCTCAATAATCGTTTTTGAGGCCCTGCAAAAATCTCCGCGCTCCAATGCAGAATGATTTTGACGCCGACAGGGAGATCATTACACACATCTAAACTCTTCACGCTTCATTGAGAATGATTCTGACGCCTACGAGGAGAACATTACACGCAGCCCAGCGAATGATCATCACACGACAGGGTTCTTGAGACGCATCTAGACTCTCAACGCTTCATTGAGAATGATTCTGACGCTTACGAGGAGAACATTACACGCAGCCCAGCGAATGATCATTACACGACAGGGTTCTTGAGACGCATCTAGACTCTCAACGCTTCCATGAGAATGATTCTGACGCCTACGAGGAGGCGATCCAACCAGGCCGGCGGAATGATGCAGCCAAGGGACGGGTCATGAGGCAGCACAGACCAGCAGGCAGCAGGGTAGTACAAGGCAGCCTAGCGCGCATGCCGCATCCATGTGATTTTTGAGGCGCCGTAATGATGCAGCCACGGGACGGGTCATGAGGCAGCACAGAACGGCAGGCAGCAGGCGGCACAAGGCAGCCTAGGGCACATGCCGCATTCAAGTGCCAGGAAATGCGGAGAAGCGAAGCATTTAGGACCAGATATGTGACGTACTTAGGACCAGAAAATAAGACGTACTTGGAGTCGTAGAGCTTCGCAGAGGTGAATTTTCAGTCGACTCAAAACTCACCTCTAAAAGATCAGAGGAGACGGCGCACAGACTGCAGCACACAGGATCACAGTCAGGACGTACTTTGAGTCGTAGAGCTGCGCAGAGTAATTATAACCCTGGAGAGTCGACGGCGGGCACGCGTTACCCATCACCACCTTTTCGCACTCGCACTCCTCCTCCTCTTCCTCTTCCTCATCCTCCCCCTCGTGCTGGACCTCCGAAGAGGACGGCGGAGGATAACCGGGCGCCGCGGTGCTCGGCTTGCGCGGAGAACCTCCCCCCTGCCCGCCGTCGCCGTAGCCGCCGCCGCCGCTGCTGCCGTACTCGGGGTTTGTCCCTGGCGGTGGAGGTTCGGAAGGTTCGGAAGGTTCGGAAGGCGCGGAAGGTGCGTAAGGCGCGAGCGGAGGATCATCATCCGCGGGGTCTTGTTGCGGCTTTTGCTCGTCCGCGGGTTCCTGTTGCGGCGCTTGCTTCTTCGGAGTTTTCCCGCTGCCGCCGCTCGATTTCGGTTGCTCGTCATAATCGCCACCTACGTCAGTAGGATCAGAAGGTGCGCTTTTATTTCCGGCGCCTCCTGGCGTCTCCTGAGTCGGGTCAAACAGCGCGCCGTCTCCGCTATCGTCGCTAGTAGGAGGGTCAGCAAGGTTCGAGTCGTTATCTGCGGGATTAGAACCGTCGTCTGTAAAATCGTCATCACTGGGCGAAGGTGCGTCGTCAGTTGCAGGCGGATCATCAGTTGAAGCAGGCGGATCATCCGCTGTAGGGTCGGCTGTATCAGGCGGGTCATCGGTTGCTGCAGGCGGGTCGTCTGTGGCAGGCGGGTCATCGGTTGTAATAGGCGGGTCATCGGTTGTATCAGGCGGGTCATCGGTTGTAATAGGCGGGTCATCGGTTGTAATAGGCGGGTCATCGGTTGTAATAGGCGGGTCATCGGTTGTAGCAGGCGGGTCGTCGGTTGCAGCAGGCGGTTCGGCGGGTGAATGATCCACAAAAGGCTCGTCTTGCGTGGGGGGCTCGTCGGTGCCATCGCCGCCGCCTGAGCCTCCTTGCCCACTGGGCACTTCTTGGGTATCCGACGGGCCTTGACCATCGTTCGCGTTGTTATTCCCGTCATTCGCACCGCCTTTTTCGCCGTTATCTCCGTCGGACGTGCTTGGATCCGTGAAACTCCAGTTCCACATGCCGTCGTCTCTGCTCCTGCTGCCACTGCCAGTCCCGCCTCCTTCTTCCGTTGTGCTTCCGCCACCACCGCTGCTGTCGCTCTCTTCCGTGGTAGTCAAGGCCCCGCTATGGTCACCGTCGGGCGGGGAGTCAAGCTGATTGTTAGTGGCGGGTCCGCCTACGGCGGGGTCGACAATATCTAGAGAAACATCTTCCGATGTGGCACTTTGAGCATATGCCGCACCGGCGGGCGTGATGTGACTGGCTAGCGAAGCGACGGGAAAGGATGCTACCAGTGCGACGGAAAAGACAACAATAAGGTACTGCCATGTTCTGAAAAATCTCCGTCGCGAAGCCGATCTCGATCCTTGACGCAGCGCCATCGGAAACTATATGTGGTTCCTTGCGGCCCTCTTACCCTGTATGCTGCATGCTTGGCAGAAACAAAGCTAAACAGAGCTACAGATTTTCTTATTCCTAACAACTGACACCTACAGGGCTGTGTGCCTAGCCTATGTGTCTTGCGCAAACGTTAACTCAATCGTTCTATTACTGGACGAAGTTTCAGTATCAAACTGAACGGTCTGACGGTTCACATTCTGCATGCTGATCGGAACACGAGCACCAACGTCGTTTGCTCTGGTCGAACAAAATTGTTCCGTAATGGCGTGTACAAAGTGCTGCAAAAACCCAACGTCGAGGGACGTCGGTGAATCCTGACGGTTGGAAGTTTTGATCTGACGGTTGAAATTCACCGACGTTCCTCGACGTCGAGCTAGTGCAGTACCTTGAACACCCTTTAACACCGCGCTTTTTCGTCTGTGCGGATGGCGAAGGACCCTTGCACCGACAGGTGGTTCGTTCCGGGGTGGTTAATTATCACCGACCACGAGGAGAGGTGGACACTAGATCAGGTGACGGCAGTGCAAGCAAGAGGAGGAATCGTGAGGGGCCATTCTAGTGGAGTCATTTTGCCCCTCCCTGGATTTTTCCGCTTCCTTGTGTGGAATGTGCAGCAATGGCTCCAGTTTGGTTGGGTAGTTGGATGGAAGACAAAATTGAAATGTCGCGACTCGGTTTGGAATGCCTAATCGAACCGCGGTGATCTCGTCGCTTCTGGGCGTGGTTGAGTTGGCCGAAGCGCACGTCACGTTTCCCTGTGGGTAGGGAGCTTCGTTTGGACCTCTCTATTGGTTGGATGCCACATGGAACCTCAATGACGGAAGGCGACTGCAAAGACGAGTCTGTTAGTGTGCACAACGTGGGTGATTGGTTGAAGAGGGCTATACGCGCGAACCGATATCGCGAGGAACTCACGCAGGAAAAGGTAGCTGGTTAGTAAATCAACAACATAACTTTTACCTGCATTCTAAGTACAATAGCCACAAATTTGATTTCTCTACACATCCAAAATTGCAGGCAACACATACTTGCTCTTTCAAAATTTTAGGACAGCCCACTCGAACTAGTAAGTAGGCACATCGCATCGCATGCAGCATGACCCGAACTTGGAACAATATGCAAATCACATATGCTATGCTGCCTACGTGTGTGAATCATGCCTTACTCGATGGTGTAACATGTTGTAGCCTGTAGTGAGGCTTGTCTTAGAGGGTACAAATATTAAGGTTTGCTATATGTACCCCAACCCACATCATTTAAGACACAATTCAGTTTCTGACATGGTATAACCTAGGTTAGGATCATGTAGGATCCCATTCCTCTTGCCCGAGCCTCCCGAGCCTCGAGCGCCTCACCCGTCCCATCCTGTCTCGTAGTGCCGCAGTAGCGCCCCTTTCGTACGCGCTTGCCCTGAGCGCCCGTCAGCGGGCCTGCCCTTAGCGCTCGCCACGCGCTTGCCCTTAGCGCCGCCGCGTCTGCCCTTAGCGCCCGCCGCGCCTGCCTGTTAGGCCCGCTGTGGGCCCTCCCGTGCCACCTGCCGCGCTTGCCCTACCTGCCCGCCGCGCCTGCCCGTGCCACCTGCCGCGCCTGCCCTTAGAGCCTGCCGCGGCCCTGCCCTACCTGCCCGCCGTGCCTGCCCGTGCCACCTGCCGCGCCTGCCCTTAGAGCCTGCCACGGCCCTGCCCTACCTGCCCGCCGTGCCTGCCCGTGCCACCCGCCGAGCCTGCTCTTTGAGCCCGCCGTGGGCCTGCGTTATTGTGCTTGCCGCGTCTTCCCGCTCTTTGCGAGCCTGCCCTTAGAGCTCGCCGCCCCGGCCCTTCGCGTCCCTCTAGCGTCCGCCGCGTGCCTACTTTTGGTCGCGCGCCTGCCCTGCGCACGCCCGCGCGCCTTTTGCCCAACCGCTTGTCTCCTTGCCGTGCTTGTCGCCTTGCCCTCGCCTGCCATTG